AAACATAGTCCATCAGGTTTCCACTCCTAAAAAGGAGAAAATGTCACAGCAGAGTGATATCACATGGCGCATACTGACAACTGTTAAGGATAAGGAAGGTCGACATCTACATTTTCTACATCTGATAGTTGTTTTTGTATTTCGCTATTCCATAATCAAATAGTATCGATTTAATTCGTACTATAATTTGAAGGAGGATTCACGATAAGAACGAAGGTCGAAGAAGGGAAAATTGCCTAGTTGGGAGACAGGCGGACCTCCTGAGGGTGCTGACCGACGCGCAATTGGCAGCGAAAGATTTGACCTCGGCGATCTAGCATGGCTCACTCTTGGCGCGGTTGGCGGGGTACGCCCACCGACTATCTAATCACTCGCCGCAGGTCTATACGTGGCGAGTGATTAGATAGCAGAGAGAGCGTAGTGTTGAAGAGGGCACAGCGATGAGAGTCGCATCAATGCGCAAATCAACGGGCAAGGAAGGGGTCCCATTTCTCGGGTTTCGGGCCGTTTCAAATGGTTTCTTCTTCATCCCTGCTCCACTGACCACCTCTACCCTTATTTCCAATGAGCTAACTTTTCATCGTAAATTCTGCCCTAAAATCAATGTAGTTGCGACTGCGACAATGTAGTTGCGCGTAGCCAAATTCCTACTATGCGCCAGAAATTCTGATGAGCCTCCGAGAATTCTTAAAAAATGCCAAGAAAGGATTTCCTGCAGCTTATGGAATCAAAAAGCCATCCTATGAAAGTTAAATGGCTATTGCTCAGAGACGGGCTTTGAATTTCTTAGCCAAAAACGAGGGAGGGAGATTCATGACGCCGCGCCCAAAAAATTTGATGTCTCATTCAGAGCTTCGATCAGCAAAACGACTTACGGATCCTTCACAGCAATAATCACAGGGTTGTTGAAGCGTCAAATGCTTCTGTTGGAAGCATCTTATGCGTTTTTGATTGATGGTCATTTTTCCATGACGTCCCTCACCTTTTCGAGGTTCATCGCGGTCGCTTGCAATACGGTCAAAGTCCCTATACCGCTATCGCCGTACCCATTTCAGTTGACCATGACAGCTGACAAAGCCGCCATATTCTTTTTTCTGACCCGGTCCAGTGACACCTTTCCCAGGCTCATCTCCGCATCCTCATTCCAGTAGAGTGGAGCTTCCTTTCGTAGAAGCACCCTGATGCACCTTCGATTGATCCGAATGGACACCCACCATTTCATCCGCGTTAAACCGCTCTTCACTACCTTCAGCGGCCTAATTGATATCGAAAATCCTACATTCTTACTTCTAGCGTATACGAATAGCTCTGCACCCTCCTCTGAGCTCACAATTTTGGTGTTCTTGGCATTCAACAGAATCCCTCCTTCGGCCAGTACATACTGCCATTTCTGTACCTTGCCCTGAAGTTCTCCTTTGCTATCGTTATCACGTGTGCCGCTAGCATGGCCTTCGGCGGCCTCCCCCAGGAGGCCCGCACGCCATGACGTCTAGCGATAACAAGAAGAAGGACGGACTCAACGCTGATCCGTGGTGTGCACCCCCTCTCATTGATGCACATTTTCTTTTATAAAACCGCGCGAGGGGACACTAAGATGGCATAGTGCTTGGATCCGAAATATTCCAGAAAAGTCTAGACCAGCAGCTTTCGATGGAGTTCACCACCTGCGAACTCACGCCGAGTTCGCAGTTGTTGAAATCTTTCGTGTCCCACTTTTGATTCCACTCAAACATAGAGAAGAAAATACTAAATTTTCAGGCAACCGACATCCTCAGCGCGGCTATAGTGTTGACGAATCGGGAGAGCCTCTTCATAGTAGCTCTTCTTCTTCCATGGCTCGAATGGTTCTCTATCACTTTCTCAACCATCACGTTTCCTGGTTCTCAACGAACCTAATCAACTAACCAGCTGGGACCAGCCGTCACCTCAACTTGTTGCCCTTGTGGGAGTCACCTCGTTCGGACGTCCATTGAAGTAATGTTCCAAACTCCTCGTGAGTAGGCTGACTTCTCCAGGATTGCGCAGATGTTTTTAACACCCTTTGCCACTCCGATGCTTCGAGTAGCTCGGTACCGAGACTCAGTCAGCTTGCAGACTAGCTTCTTTGTTGTGTGCTTTTTAACGTCTCGCAGAAGGGCGTTCATTTGCACATTTTACGTCAGCGACGGCTGCTGACGGCGAGGAGGGTCCACTGGCTCTTGTACACTACAGGGACGAATGGAGATGTTGCTGGCGCCTGCTCGAGCAAATGGATGATTAACGAGACGGCAGGTGATAATACAGACTCTAATAGGCAAAACAATTTC